AATGGGCGGGAGGGGAGGGCATTGGGAAGATTAAGGAGACCCCGGGACGGGCAGCCTGCAGGACACTCGGGCCGGGGGTGCTGCGAAGGCCAAAGCTCAGGCTTAGCCAGGTGCCGGAGGCCAGGCCCACCCATGGCTTCTAGCCGGCCGGAGGGGCAGCCCCATGGGCCGGGCTCCTTGCCCTTCCTGCCAGACACTGGCCCTGGGGACAGCGATGGCCCCAGCGGCTGCTCTGCTGTGTCCGTGTGGCGCGGGGGCAGGGGATGGGCGAGGGGGCGCCCGCCTGATGCTGCAGGCACACGCCGTGCAGGCCAGCCCCCGGAAGCGGTGGCTCTGGCACACGCTTGGGCTCCTGGCACCAGCGAGCTGAGCAGCGGGACGCTGTGGGCCTGTAACCCGGGGGTCTCAGGCGGGAGCCCCGTGCCTGGCCGGAGGCGGCTGGCAAATCAGAGAGGGGTCAGGGAAGCGCCGGGAGGCGGCTGGGAGGGCGACAGACCGGCAGGCGCGGGGGGGGGGAGCTGGTGACTGAGTCGCTGCCTGGGGTCGCCAGTCGCGCTGAGGGCGGCCGTGGAAGGCAGGGTTCAGAGACGGGTGCGGGCGCGCGCAGGGCGACTGACCACTGGACACGGCAGCCTGGTCTCACTGGCTCTGCCCTGGCCTGCACTGGGGTCAGGCCGGGTGACCCGAATGGCCCCGCGGGGAGGTCACATGGCTCAGTGGGAGACACAAGTGGGCTGAGCGCTGAGCCGGGGCAGGATGGGCCAGCGAACACGCCGCCCAAAGGGCTCTCGAGGGCCCGCCTGGCCAAGGAGAGCCCCGCTGCCCGGAGAGCCCCGCTGCCCGGAGAGCCCCGCTGCCCGGAGAGCCCCGCTGCCCGGAGAGCCCCGCTGCCCGGAGAGCCCCGCTGCCCGGAGAGCCCCGCTGCCCGGAGAGCCCCGCTGCCCGGAGAGCCCCGCTGCCCGGAGAGCCCCGCTGCCCGGAGAGCCCCGCTGCCCGGAGAGCCCCGCTGCCCGGAGAGCCCCGCTGCCCGGAGAGCCCCGCTGCCCGGAGAGCCCCGCTGCCCGGAGAGCCGCGCCCGCGCCCAGCAGCGGATGATGGTTTCCTGCCCCAGCGTGGAGACGCCTCCCTGCATTAGTGCGGCCACATCACACACGGCAGCGCCTGGGGCTCACTCCATTCTCCAGCGAGCACCTGCCTGCCCCTCCCTTGGGAGCCCGGCGCTTGCCCCTCCGGTGACTCACCATGGCCGAGGGCAGCAGAGCCCCCGCGCCCCTGAGCGGACTTCCTGGGACCCGTGACAGCAGCACACGCCAGACTGGGGGGGGCTGCGCCCTGGGCACATGCTACCGCAAAGGGGCTCCC